ACTCTTTCCTATCCCAGATGCTGCAACATCGCCTTTATTATTGACGAAAACATACTGAAATAAATAAATAAATGTCATTTAAGTCATTGCAATTGATCAATGATAAAAGCAATAACAGATAACTAAACAACTAATATAGATCAGGGTAGGAAAGTAACTAAATAGAAATCAATAAAAGTAAGAAGGAGTACATTTGTAAGATCTAATTAAGGGCCTCTTTGATTATAGTTTTTATAGAGTTTTCAGCTTTCTAGTTAAGAAATTGAAAGACATGTTTGATTGTTGTTGATTACATACTTTACCAGCCGTAGACCTTCTTCATAAGTAGTTTATACTGGTGTGAGATTCATCTCATCAACATAGTATATCCTCTGCATCAAATTTGTTTCTTCTTCTTTTTCTCTCTCGTGTTTCTCAACCGGTCACCACTGCACCGGCTGAAAACAAATCTGGGATCCTCACTAATCAGCATGCTCCGGTGCGGTGGTGACCAGACCCAGGAGGGCAAGAGAGAAAGAACCACATGACTGCATGTGTGATGAGATGAATCCACTAGTAATTAAAACTAGTGCATCATGGGTCATCTATAACAGTAAAAAATTAAAATTAGAAACACCAAAGTATTATTCTGAAGGGATAAATCTAAACTTAACCGTAAGATTGTTCCCATCAATCTAAACTCTATGAATCTACCGTTAGAGGATAAACAAGGAGGAAAGGAAGGGCTTTTCCTTAGGAAATCTGAAATTCAAATTAGAAACCACCTCTGAGTTGTTAAAAACAAAGACAGTTATCAACCAAAAACAAGTAATAGTGATAATCCAAACAATTACTTGATAGATTTATGATGACAGTAGCATTAGCAAGAGAATGAAACATGTTCTTAGTTACCTCATTCTCATCGTTACTGGAATCAGGAGGAGGTGATCTGTTGAGATCAATCGGAAACTTGTTACTTGGCTCTGACACTGCCTTCCCAGAGTCAATGACATGAACTGAAGAAGGAATGATGGGGTAATTGTTCACTGACTCACAAGATGAAGCCCTGTTCAAGGTCACAGGCTCAGCCATGGGTGCTAGTTTTCCCTACTCTCTGATATCTAAGCAAATTCAAAAACAGATCCGAGGCCATGGCTAAATACTACAGATTATGAAAGTGATGTGCAAATCCATTTCACCCAGTTGAATTAAATAAGGATTTTGATAGCCAAATTCAACCATTGCATTCATGGCTTTGACCAATTTCCTTTCCCAATAAGATGTTGAGACATCCTAAATAACTTCCAAACTTGTTTTTCCAGACGCAAAACCAAACACCACGTTAGTTATGAACAAATAATGTGGTCCAACGTTTCTAGAGCTATATTTTATATACAACAACAAATTCACGTTTTTCACCAAATGCTGGTAAACAATGGTGCTGATATTAAAAGCTCTTCTTTTATTTTAATCCTATATAAACCCTTAACTTGTTTTAATTTGCTTGGTACAAGTAACCATCAAAAACAGAATCTATTTAGGACGTGAGAGAGGCCAATAAGTTTTTACAACATATTTAATTTGGTCCTTGATTTTTTAAAAATATGTAATGTTATTACTTTTGTTAAATCTAGACTTATCGGTGTTTATTTGTCATTCTTTTATTATATCGTTAATCTAAATTCAATCAAAGGAACAATATTGTGTTGTTTTTAATAATTAAATAACCAAATTAAAATATCAAATCCCAAAAAGAGAGAACAAAAAAGTAATTTAATTTATCAAAATACAAAATCATAAAATCAAGGTAAAATTTTATAAATAACAGATTGAATAAAACAAAATCCTATATATATATATATATATATATATATTAGTTTTCGTGGTAGTTACATTCAAATTTATTGCTATTTGATAAATAAAAATATTTAAATGAAGTTAACTTACTAAATTATAATTATACACATGTCCATAGTAAGTAGTGTTAATAATTTAATGGATAGGAGTATTAATAGACCAGCCAATTAAGTTCAATCAAAGTTTAATATTTTTTTCTTTAAAAAGAGATGATAATAATAAAAACTAAAACTAATTAATAAGGTTTTAGTGAATGTTAAGGACAGGTAAATACAAGTTTCCACCATCTATTCCGTCATCAGAGTTTTCATTTATATATATCATTCAAATATCAGCGGTTGAGACTTGAGACATTCTTTAACCACTCTTATTTAAACCTTCAGGAAACGTGTGTTTAAGGGACTGCTTGAAATTTTGAAGTCTTAAGAAAGGTAGCATATGCTTGGGACCCCACTCTTAATCCTTTTCACACTGTGTAATTAATTACTCAGCCAAGTGTACGTGACTTTTATAAAGCTCTTATGTGTAAGGAATTGTTCAACGTTACCTCGTTTTTGGTGGATAGAATGATTAAAAAAAGTGGACAAGAGACTTATCGTGTCCTCCATTTTTAATATTATCCTTGGTGAGCTATTTTATATGATGGATAATGGAGTTATAAATTACAATTGCTGTAACTTACAAGCAATGCTGCTCCACAGGTCAACATGCTAGCTTCTGTTATGAATGGTTATTTTCGATTCAATATTCATATTATTTTATTAGAATGGAGTTTGTAAACCTATTAAATTTATATAGATTTTATTTTACAAACTTGATTTGCAAAAAAAATCTTTGTATTACTTCCGATTCAAATTGGTTTCAGACTAAATATAAATGTACTTTCGAAAGAAATTATATTCATCACCAAATTTAATTAGTAGACAAATAACTTAAAAGAGGTCTAGCGATAAACTAAACAAGGCTTATTCAATATTCATTAATTAACACCCAACATTATTAGATTTCTCATCACTTTATTGCAAATTTATTCCATGCCGATCAACCATTTCATATTATTTTTTCACTTTTTCATCATGTACAATGTCTAATGGTTTTCCAATAGCATTAGTACAGTATATTTTTAGCTTTGGGGTGGGTTTGGATTCAATTTTATTACACGCAGGGAAGGATTATATTGCAACTTTTCCATTATCTATATTTCTTTTATTCTGACTTTGGCATATCTGGTGCAAAAATTCTGTCGAAACCTAGCTAGCCCTAAAAGTTGGCTTCCCAGAAAAAGGTTAAGAGAAATTAAAAAAACAAAAACTCCAAAAGATTAAAAAATATAGAACTATGACAAAATTTTAGATAAAAGGTCTATGATTAAAGTATGACAAAAATAGTCATTTCATTTGGTGGGTAGAATCTAGAAACAAAGGTCGATGACAAAAATTAAGAAAATAATTAATATTTTAATTTTTTAAATATTTATTATTTATTTTTTTGTTATACTCTTTAAGTTGTTCGAGAAAAAATAAGTATATTAAAAATGAATAAATATATTGTCTAATAAACACATATTAATTATCAAGAATAAAAATAAAAATAAAAATTAATAAATTATTAATTTTAGAAAAATTATAGTAAATAAAAAATAATAATGATAAAACAACTATAAAAAACGGAGGATCTGTGACAAAAATTTAAAACATGGCAATCATGAAAAAAAAACTTCTCTATTTTTTTTCTTACACTAATTTTGGAAAAATAAATAATACTCTCAATTAAATATATAACATCTTCATTTCATTTATTTATCTAAAGTCTTAATAATAAAAAATTGGAGGAAGAAAGAAATGGAGAAATTCTTGATTCAGCAATTATGACGTGGCCCACTCTCAACTTTTAAGAAAAATAAAACAGTTTATATTATATATCTTTCCAACCCATAGAAGTGGCTTCTTTTATTGTTATAAAGAAGAAAAATGATTGAACCTGCGTATGTGTGGAAAATTATTTCGAATGATTAAAATAGTAATTTAAATTATAAAATATTAAATTAAATAATTATTTTATAATAAATTTATTAAAAATACGATTTTGAAACGTATATCATTATTCTATAAAAAAGATTGGTTCTTGTTAAGTTGAGATGTTTATAATTTTCTTAATTATAAAATATAAATTTTAATTAAAAAAAAGCTTTTAAATTTATTGGAGGATGATTTCGAAACGTGAATTCAGAAGATACAGCATATTTCATATTTTATTAATCATATGTCTTTTGATTCCCTTGACAATTGGAATTTGGATTCTTCGTCCAGACTACTTTTTGATTTCGTGTGCCGTATTTATAGCGAGAGCATTAATTTTGTGGGTCCATAAAGAAAAGACACATCATACTGCAATTTGAGTTTAGATTTTTCATATGATAATTTTTAGTAAAATGTAAATAATTAATAATAATAAAAAAGAAAGTATTTCCTCCATTTTTTATTTATAATCATGTTGATATTTTTTTTATTGTCACTTTTTTAAAATTAAGAATTTATTAATTTTTTTCATTTTTGTGAAGAAAAATAAAGTGAAAATGTGCATGAGAAATATGATTCAGGAAGATATCCCCTTCTTTTTGAATCTGAATCCTAATTTCCAACCAATATCATGATGTGGGAAAGAGGAATGGAATGAGCAGATTATAGTAATAAAGAATCTTAGTTGTGTGTGCCAATCATATATTATCTTTTTAGTTTGTTGTGGCACAGAATAGGAAAAGGAAGTAAAAAAAGGTAACTTTGTCGTGTGTGCGTACCATGGAATCTAATGATCAAATCATAGGATAGAATGAAATATAGGTGAGACACGGCATCGAGTTGTTGGGGTTGGTTAGTTGATGACGTTCATTGCTTAATATCCAACTTACATTTCTTTATAATGCTTTCATATATTATTTTATCCTACCCGATATTTTATGTTCTTACAATAATGAAATCGGAATAATATTTTATATAAATTACAATGATTATCTTAAAACTGTATTTTAAGGAATTATTATTCGGTAACAATCTTTTATCTCTTTTAATTTATTATTTTCAAAATTAAATTTTAATATAAATGTTGGAGATCTTGGCATAGCTGGCTCCAAATTCTCAATATTACTCTATTTTAGAGCTAGAATTGTGAGATTTCAGAGATCTTAATAGAGTTATAATAGTTTTTATGACACGTACTCTTCTTCAATCTTATGCTAAATTGTTGCTTTCTTTTGTTCTTGCTTTCACATTATACATGTCATTATTAGTAACAAACAACCTTTATTTTAAACTTTTCAACTCTACCATGGAATTATCCAACTATGATTTGTTTATGGATGGTTTCTCTTACCAACAATAAATGAGCAATTCTTATTATTAATTACAATCCAACATGTACCCCTGCATTCATAGGCAAACCACTTATATATACCACATGAATACGATGGTATTTTCGGGGCCATACTAAACTTTTTTCAATATTTAAATGCTACATTCCGCTTTCTAACTTTTCTTACAGTCGCACAAAATAGTTACTTTACTAATAAGGATTCATCTTTTCTCGCATAAAAATTGCATCTAACAATTTATACATTCACTTCTATTATCTACAATCAGAAATCTGATCAAAGCCTCAAAGGGGTTAACAATGTACACTGCCCATCTAATGTTATTATTGAGACCTTAGCATAAAAAAGAAAACAAGAAACAGAAAAACGTGAAAGAATATGCTATTTCCTTGCACACCATAGGTGTTTGATTTTAAGTTCCATAACTGACCCTCAATCCATCCTTCCCGCTGCCTCTACGTTTTTGTCTTGAAAAGTGAAAAAATAAATAAAAATCAGTTGAACAGCATTCAAACTGTAAAACCAACATGCTCTATTTCTTCAAAGTTGGATGAAAAATGATTCATTTCTCGGATGTGTATACAAAATAAATAAATAAATTTGTATACGGCATCGGTTTGGCTGTGTTTCCACATTAAAGCTCTTATATTTCAATTCCATTAGAATCTTTATACATTTACTTAGTTTTCATGATTTATCATTTTTTTCTTATATATATTATAATCTTATATTTTAAAATTACAATTATTTAATGGAATAGTTTCTTCCATCAGAATCTCTCAGCAGATTAGACTTGTTAAAGTGAATAACTCAACTCGATCCAGATCCAACTCATCACAGTTTAAATGGAATAAATGGATTGACTTACTTAAATTAAAAAATATATATATTAAAAAAGGTTATTGAAATTTATATAAAAAAAATACATATTATAATCTTATATTTTAAAATTATAA